AAATTAAACAAGCAAAAACTAACTAAAGTCTAAATTTACAAGAGTAGTAACTAGCAAAGACTATTAATTGAACCATCCGCATAGACACTTTTCAAAATATTTGCACTTCATGATAAGTTTTTCACAATTATTTTTCGTATAGTCTTCACTTTTCACAAAAAATTAAAAGTATAGTCAATTTGACTTTTCAGACTTTATTTGATTGAGAATCCATATTGGCATAGCTGTGAAAGACTCAAAAGTAAAGACTAACAATAAAAATTATAATATTATAGATAAAATTAGCTATCATAAGATGCTTTTGGACGGCCGGTTTAAACCCTCTTTCATTCTTTCTATAAGAGCTTTGTTATATTATATTATATTATATTATATTATATTATATTATATATATATATATATATATTTTAATAATTAAAATGTTTGTATAATAAAAGATAAAAAGATTTTGAATTATTGTTTTTATTATAGATATATTTAATTATTTAAAAGCTAATAAATTAATTGATAGAATTGAAAATATTAAATAAAAATATTTATTTTTTATAAAAAAAATTAGTTATTGAACTGTCTGATAAATATAAAATAACATAAAAATATATTTAATTTTTATTTCAAAATTAATAATTATATATTTTAAATAATTATGACTTTTATACTTCAATTTATTTTAAATAGTTCATCATTTTAAAAATTCGTATAATTATTTTTATTGTTATGGTTTAATATTTTATTAAATAAAACTAGATTATATAAATATATCTATATTATAATTTTGATAATCTATACTAAAATAAAAAAATAATAAAAATATATGTAAAAATTTGTGAAAATACTAATTATAAACTATTAAATTAAACTCTTTTGCCAAATCAATATTTTAGTTAATCAAATAAATTAAAAATTATATAACTTATTTGCCATATCTAATACACTATATATCCGTGATTACAAAAACTAAACCCCACTCTCTATTCTAATTCAATATCTGGTCGAGCTTTCAAAACGTGTTTTAAACTATTCAACACCAAGGATTACATGCATACGTTGCTGACAGTTTACCAAATTATTGAAAGTCCTGTAAACAGAGTGTGCCAAAAATGATAACATGAGAGAAATTTTCTAATTTGTTTTTCAACTAGTAAAATGATTATAAAAGGAGAAGAAGGACTTTATTCAATTAGGTTATATATCATAATCTGCTCACCTTTATCTTTTTCCGTAGAATCCAAATACAATCTCATTGTTCAGGGTGGTGCAAATTAGTTCCACCATTTCAACTTCTGGACTTCAGCATTTTCAAAGGTCATACCTAGAAGGTTATTTTTATTATGTCAATTGTTCTACTATTATTTGATAATATTTTTGTAACATTTTTTTATTAGGACAATAACTAACAATTATGATGACCCATAACTTAATAGTCCAACCGAAGCAGCTCCCTCTAATTCCCCGAAGGAAATGCATCATATCATTCAAGATTTAAAATCTTGAAGCTTGCGCGTTGACGAGACTAAGGCCAAGATCTTGACTACAAGTAGAATAATTATAGTGGCAATTATAATACTATGATTCAATCCAATACATGCCATGATCTAAATATTTTTATTTTATGGGAGGACTAGTTAGGTAATTTTGAGCCAATAATGAAACAAAATATTATTGGAAGTTTATATATTATTACTCTTTGAAAATCTTAAAAATATTCTGAAAGCAAAATAATTATTAGGCCAACAATACATAAACATGTATGTTATCTACTAGCAACCTGTTGTTTGTGAGGCGATTCACTTAGATAATAAAGTTAGAGAATGCATTTCTTATATTATTCAATTAAAACAATTTGACAACGCTTGTGAATAATATATTAGTGAACATTGAATTACATTGTTGGAATGGTCAAATAGAATATATTATAAACCATATAACTATTTGGGTGTATGGTAAGTTTTATGCCTATATGGATGCATGTGTGCACATAGGTGCATGTTTGCACAGAGATGCATGTTTGCACAGAGGCATACAAAGTATTGAAAAAATATTACGTTATGGGCTCTTTAATAACACAACAGTTTGTGAGTGTAAGTGCCTCTACACAATAGTATAAATGTATTTGAACGGAGTTTTTAGTAATGCACTGGATTGAATTGGACTATTTCTTTTATATCTTCTTTCTATTTAAGGGTTTTACACATGGAAAATGGTGGAGTTTTCTCTTTTTTTTTTTTTTTTTCTTGCAAGTCATATATGCCAACTTGCCTACCTCTTGTAGTTAGTTATGTTTTTATTTAATCTGATTATTCGTTGGTTTTCAAACATATAAGTAATACAACTTTTTGAGCAAGACTTAATTTTTGAAAGGTAAAAAATGCGTTCAAATTGTATGATTTAATTGTTTGATATATTTTTTTTCCTGATATAATGTTTGAAATGTGGTAGATTACTGGATTTCAAAAGATAAAAAATTTCTAGAGAGAGAAAAAAAGGGAAAAATATTAAGATTATCCCATTTATAAGAAAAATGTTCTTTAAAAAAAAGTGAAGACATGGTTTACAACTTCCGAAATAAAATTAGGTACTTGAAAATATTTAAAATAAAAAATAAATAAATAAAATTTTCATCTTCAAGTAAAATTATTATGAGACAAAATTGAAATAGTTCTAAAATAATTTACATATAAAATAGCTTTTAAAGTTATAAATAAGTTAGGGTTTTAAAAAAATGGCAACATTTGGCTAAAAAAGAAAGAAATAACCTATATTAATTCAAAATTAAAATATTATAGGTTTCAAAATGTTGAAAAGAGAAGAAATTAAAGAAACTGGGAGATAAAAGGTACGCTTTGCAAAAACTCAACATTTATTAGAAATAAACTCATTATAAAATGATGGATGAATTTACATTTAGCTTCATATATGTAAAAAGAATGTTATTAGGAAGGTTGGGTTAAGTTTTTGATTTCTTAAAATTTTATAATTTTTATAATAGGTGTCTATTTGTTGTTTCTTTAAACAAGTTTTATATAAAATATATTTTGATATTTTTTTAAAAATATTACGAGTTATTTATTTTAGATTTTATTTTAAAAAATAAAAAATTGTATTATTTGTAAAAATTGAATAATAAACTCGTGATATTTAGAAAAATTAAGTGAAAAATTTATTATTGTCAGAGACCAAATAAAAAATAAAAATCAGAGAAATATAAAATATTTAAAGACTAAATACTAAGTTAAATTTACTATGCAATATTTATGACTCTCATGATGAGCAAATATTATTTATTTTTTTAAAAAAATATTCTACATCTTCAAAATACTAGACATAATTGACATTCACTAAGCAAATTAGATGTGTTTGCTTGAAGAATATGACCTAATTCAAGGGATGTATAACTTACCTTCAAATAAAGAAATCTCGAAGTACTTTCTATGAAGATGAGGCTCCATATATAACATAGTTCAAACGAAGCATACATTAAAAGAAATAGAATAAATATTCATGATTTTCAAAGTTTTTTCTTATTTATAGTCTTTAAATAAATAGTAAAAAATTGATATTCAATAAATTTATTCAAATAAAAATTTAATTTACATAATTATAAATATATATTTTTTACAGTATTATCAACTATATTTATATTTGAAATACTAGTTACATAATTGAAATAGATTGATTCAAAGTCTTAATTATAATACTTTTTATAAAGAATTGATTTAATTCATCCATTTTATTTTTCAGATTTGTAGACATGCTTAATAAAAAAAATTATATGCTTTTTAATTTGATAGATTGTTATTGATATTTATTATTAATGAATAATGTATTTTTTTAATACTCTAAAATAATTTTTTATTGATTTCTTTTTATTGCTAAGACTTTAACAAACACTATAATAGAAAAGATAGAAGACCGTAGTTTTAGAGAGCTATTCAAACCATTCCAAAATAGATATGTAATTTATATAGTTGCTCTCTAAAATATGAGTGAGTATGAACTGCAAATATTAATTCTTTATCTTACGAATTAAAACTTGAATTTATATGTTATATTAACTAAATAGTCTAAAAAAGATGAAAAAAATTTACAAATATGAACAAGACTAATTTTATTAGTGTTTTATAAGATATGAATTGAGTATGTTTATTTATAAGATAAAAAATTTAAAATTTTAATTTGTGAGATCAGTTGACACATAACTGCTATTTAAAAGTAACTTTAGAAATCGATTAATATATAATTATTTTTTAAGTATTTTGGTTAGTAAATTATAAAATAAAATATAGTATTTTTTATTGGTATTATAGGAGGGTGTTATGAAATTTATTTAAAAATAGATTTTTACTTTTATTCCCATAATGCATCAAATGAGAAAATTTAAAGTTAAAAGTAAGATGCATGTAACTACCCCTTGTATTGAAAATAAAATCATATCTTAGAAGAAAAAGTTAAAATTATAAAATGCATATGATTTATTTAAAAGAGTTTGCATTTAAAAATTGAAGAAAAAAAAGTTAAAACTAAAACGTTCCATCAAAGAAAATAGAATAGAATAAGAAATTAAATTGCTTTTAAGAGAACGTATGGTAATAATAATCAGAGATTGACTTAAAAATTCACAGGACTTGTTATAACCGTAACCTGTATTGTTGTGAAAATTTTATATTTGATTAAGTTGATGTATGTGGAATTAATAATTAAATTTAAAATAATTTTAAAATTAACCGTGAAAATTTCATTTGTAACCGATAATGATAGAAGCCATAAAGAAATTGAGAACATCAAACACAAATGGACAAATAATTTTCCGAAGAATCGAGTCATTGTTCTAAAAAGAAAGACATTCTCATTAGCAAAATTCTAATTTATTATATAAAGATGTATCTAACTCAAATCAAACTATATTACAATTGATGTAAAAAAAAAAAAGAAGCAAAACTCTTTCAACTGTGTTTCAAGATCATGACAATCAAGTATGGGACTCTTGGAAGCATTTGATTTCACCTATGAAAGGTTGTTGCATAAAAAGAGAGATTAGGAAAACAAGGAGAGTTCTTCCAAACCTCCCAGTGAGACTTGAGCATCTCCATTGCTTTGTCCTTTAGATACTTGGCATGATCAGTTTGAAGCAACGTGCAAAGCTTCGACACAGTTCCAACCTTCAACATCTCTTGAAGCACCGTGTTTGTGCCAGAAAACTTAGAAATCAAAGAGAGAATAAATATAGCTCTATCATCAACAGCTGCTGAAACCTTCAATATTCTCTCTGTCACCACAGCGATGGAACCCCCATGGCTCAGAAACTTGGCTCTCCCATTAGCACTAGAACATAGATGAAACAGTATAGCTAGTGTGAGCTCGGTGACTCTATTTTCTGGTGCCCCCATTTCAATCTCAATGAGCTCAAAAACCAAACCTGCTTCCACCATCATGAACCTGTTTCGTCCCCACGGACAAGCACTCAACAAGACATGAAGAGCAGCACAAACCGCTTTTTGGGTAATCCCATGTCTTAGAATCTTCACGATTCTTTCAAAAAACTCAGGATTGAGTCTCTCAAGAACTTGATGATGACTAGGGTCACCCTTGTAGATAATTGTTTTGAGGATCAAAACCGCGTGTGATTTCATAGCAACAGACTTCTCCATTTCATCACAACTTAAACTTAAAACCCATGTTAGAGAATCCAATACTTGATCATTTTCCTTTAGAAGCACCCTCACTTCCTCCGCGGGAATCTTAACAAATTGCAATATACTAAGAGCTTCCTCAAGACCCTTTTCAATTTGACCCTTTTTATAACAATTCACAATGAACATGATCATGACCTTTGGCACACCAGCCTCTAGCAAACACTTCTTGTTCCTCTCGTTCTCTGCAGCAAGAAACTCCAATTGCATGAGATTTTTGTGGTCTTTGAGGTCTTTGAGGAGTTTAAGAACTTGAGTTTTGTCAAGTGGGGGTTTAGGTGTTGGAATGCGATCAATGCCAAGTGAAGCATTTTGAGTGCACCAAGCTTGGATCAAACGGCGAAGGGTATGGTTAGGGGTTAAGTCAGAGTCCCTTGGGAGGGGTTGTTTGGAAACGGGGCATGTTGTTGTGCTCTTGTTGGAGAATAGCCACTTCTCAATGCTATCACGATCGTATGTGATACCTGTTATGGCTGTAACAGGATCCTTCATGATTTGGAGTGATATGGGGCAGATGAAGTATTGAGGAACTTCAATTTCATCCATGTCAAAAGAAAATAGAAAAACTAAGATCCCTTAATTTTCGGCTTAAAAAAGAAGAAAAATGCGAGTTTTTATCATATCTATGGTCTATGAAGGAAGGTGTGAAAGGAACCTTTAAGGAGAGTTTACTAAATGGTAAGAGAATGCGGCTTAATTTTATATATGGTTTTAAGTATAGAGGTGTGATCGCTTGGTCTTTGGTCATAGCTAGAGTCTAAATGCGACGTATAAATATTTATGGCAGTGTTCCATATTCTAAGTAACCGTTCGGTGGTCAAAGGAAGAAAAAAGTGGTGAAGAATCTGGGGCCAAAAATTAATTATAGCAAATTAATGGAATATGTTGTAGGCTCTATAGTCATGTAAAGAGTAAGGGCATATACACTACGCATCTGTTCAAAAGTGACGAGGCATTCAGCATTTCCAATTTCAAATTGAAATTGAGTATAAATGTATTTTTTTAATTTTTATAAATTTTTAGGATTTTAATTTTATTGAATTTATTTTTCTAAAATTTAATGAATTATTTTTTATCCTTCTTATTGACGTGTGACATAACAAAAAGTTATATCATATTCTCAGAGGCGTCAATTGTGCAGTACTATAACACAATCCAATAGATTGATGACAACATAAAAATATGTTATTGACTACTGTCTCCAATAGTTGTGTTCATATTATGTTTCGTCAATTTCTCCCCATTTTCAAATCCTCTCATAAACATCTTTAAACCAAAACAACGGAAAGAAAAAAACAAATGAAATCCTCTTCTAATCGTCGTTCCACCCTTCTCCGCCAAAGTTAAATGAAATAAGTGGATATAACATATATTTTGCCATAAATACAAACCTGTTTGTCGCTAAGTTCTTAATTTTTACGAATAATTTTTAAAATATGAATAAATATTAAATTTTAATTAATATATTTAAAAATATTTAAATTATGTAAAATTTGATAACATTATTATAAAAATAAAATAAAATAAAATAATAGTTAAATTAATCCATTTTATGTTTTATAAAAAGTATTAAAGGATATAAATATTAAATTTAATATGTATATATATATATATATATATGCATTGACTTATATATTAAATGCATAAATTTAATATTATAAATTTGAAAATTATAATTTTTAACAGGGTTAATATATTTACATTAAATTTTATAATTTTGTAAAAATTTATTTTATATAAATCTTAAAATGTAAATGATATGTTTGTTGAAAAAATAATAAAAAATAAATATTAACATTTTTTTGTTTAAATTATAAAAAATACTTTTAAATATATTAATTATTATATTTTTATATTAAATTTGATATAAAATATGTGTTAATGAAATTCACACTTACTATTCATATATATATATATATGTATATATATATATATATATATAATTCTTGACCATCTAATAATATATAGTTCTATTTAAAATAAAAATAATTTATAACATATAATTATTTTTTTTTTATATTTTATTTATAAAAATTAATTATTTATATATATATTTATCTTAATTACTCCCTTTATCTCTTATTAACAGTAAGTGATGGATCCGGATTGACTGCAGTTTTGTATTCACTTAAGCGAATTTTAGTAAAAAATGATTTTAGCTTAAGTTAAAAGAAGATGTTGCAGTATATTTTCACTTTCACTTAAGCGAATTTTTTTTGCTTAAGCAAATTTGTTTTAACTTAAGCCAAAATCACTTTTTATCAAAATTCGCTTAAGCGAACGGGTTGCAATTTCCGCCAAAATTGTATACGATCCAAATCCAGTAAGTGATATCTAATATAAGGTGGAGAAAGAATTACTAAAAAATTAATTCTTATCTTCTATAATAACCGTTTAGATAACTAGAGCTTGCTAAATAAAATTCTTTTTGATATTGATTATATGTTTTATTATTGGAGGTTTTTGTTGATTGAGGGACTTATTTTTTGGTGAGGTGGCATTTACCTCTAGATAGATACCTAAAGCTCAACACTAATGGCTTTGTGTCCCAATCCTTAGGTTTAGCTAGGTGTGGTGGCTTCATTGTTGGATTTTACAATTTTTTAGATTCTTGCCTCCCAACTGTTGTTGAGCTTTGGGGTTTATATTGGAGTATCTGATTGGTCATTGACAGAAAATCTAATTTATTTATATTAAATGTGATTCTAAGATATTTCTAGTCCTTTTTATAAGAAATAAAAGACTAAATCATCAAAATAAAAGAAATATAATTAGTAATTTGTATATTCAATGATACTAATAAAAGAAATATATAAAAAAAATTTAATAATTAATGCATCTTGAATCTATCATTTGTTTTTTTAAAAAGAATAAAAAATACGTTCTATTTTGTTTCTTATAAAAATGACCAAAGGGAGTAACTATTTCTTTAATTACGAAGATCCAAAATTGTAATCACCTGATTTACTTTGTTATTAATAAAATTAGGTTGCTTGTCAAGAATATTAAGTATGTTAGGTTTAACTATATTCCTAAATAAATTAACCAACATGTATATTAATTAGCTAATATAGAGCTTAAAATTGGTTTGTTTTTTATTGTTTTTAATAAAGCTCCTTCCTCTCTTCAATCTTTCTTAAGGCTTGATTCTTTAGAAACTCTTTGACCTAAGCATGCTACTTAGTTTTGTGTTGTTTGGACTGTAAATCTCGTTTAATAGTAAAAATAAAATAAAATTCTTATCAACCAATAATAATAACTTTAACTCTTTTAATATCGATACTTTAATTGAAATCAAATTATGTTAATAGCAATTGAAAAAACTAATTATTTTTTAAAAATATGTGCATTAATACTAAAAAATATCTAAAAAAAATAATTTTAACTGTACTTTTTAAAGTGTTATTAATAATGTTTAATATTAAAAATTAAAAATTCATCTTAATAATATGTAATATTAAGAACAAATTTTGTGTGTTGTTCAGGCGTCATTAGTGTTTGTTATTTAAATTAAATTTTTATCTCGATAGTATATAATAATAATAATATATATATTATTAATTTAAATTTATATTTAATTTAATTAATAAATAATATTTAATATGAGAAAAATAGCATATAAATTTTATATTTATAATTTATTATTTAATTACTTAATATTATAAATATTTTCAAAAGATAATATAAATTTATAATTATATAACTATTTTTATTAATTTTAATGAATTATTTATGTATTTTTATATATTAAAAAATAGTGCTGACAATTACGATTGGTTCCCACTTCAATTTTTCAGCCATTGGGACGACTCAAAGTAAACTATGAGTTAACATTATTAACATTAAATAACATACGTACGTAGAGTGATAAAGTACCATTTATGATATGACTTATGTTCCTTTCATTTTTCGTAAAAGAGAAATAAAAATTTTAAAAATATATTTGATTATGTTTTAAAAAAAAATTATTTTTAAAAAAAAATTTTAGTGTAAATTATTAAAATTTATTTTTAAAAACAAAAAACTGATTGCAAAACAGTAATCAAATATGCTTATAGTATTTAAAGTAAGAAAAAATAATGAAAAGAACAAAAATTAAATTACTTTAAGAGTAAAATATACATTACTTAATAATTATTTATAAATATTAAATTTTCTGAATCTGACAGTTAAAAAATTTGATGGGTTGATATTGATTATGGATATCAAATTTTTTAGATAAATTAGATATTGATAAATATAAAATTTTAAAATCAACATTTATTTATATTTTAAAAGTATATATTTGATATCAAAATAATATTATGTAATGAAATATCAATTAATATTTAATTTTTATAAACTTAATTTATTTAAATATAATTTACATTGAAAATGTATTTTTTTATAAAAATAATTAAATAAAATAATTTTTAGCAAAATTATTTTTAAATAGACTTGATTCTCACGTTTATAAAAAAATTTAAATAAAATAATATTATTTAAATTATTTTGCTTGTACTTTAGTTTATCTCTTTTTCCACTATATCTTACTTTGCAATGAAAAAGAATGATAGAGGGGAGAAAAAGACAAGTAACGAGCCTAACAGCCCCTTTAAATCGTCATAAAAAATAATTCTCAAGTTAATCTTTACTTTTAAAAGAAGGATCCTAACAAATTATTTTACAGCTATTTATTCACCCTTGTATTAAAAGAAATATTGGCCATAAAAAAATATATTTACGTGCACTTTGAAAAGAATAAGGAATATTTGAGTTCTAAATATAGAACTACATTAAATATTTGAATAAAAAATTAGTTTATATTTAAGAGTCATAATTTATATTGGCCATAATAATATAATAATTTTACTTGATTTAGACTCAAATAGAATTATTTTGGGAAAAAAAATACCTGTAATTTAAATTTAAAAAATATTAAATAGTCGGTAGATATTTATTAGTCGTATATTACATCGGTTTCTTATGAAGTCACATAATTTCAGAAGAAAATCCTCTCTTGTGATATATTAAGTTATGTTGTATGCTTTATACGTATTTCTCCTCTTATTAGCTTTCACAAATTCTTATTTATTTAATATTTATCAGAAAAAAGATAAATATAAAACTATAAATAATTTTGTTATAGAAATTTGAACTCTGGATGCACTCCCATTAGCTTTATATTGTCTAAATTTTGTACTACTTTCTTAATTTATAGTTGGAAATAGATTGTTCCTTGTGTGGTGCTTATGTCCTAGCTGACATTTAGGTCAACCCTTTTTATTTAATAAATATTTTAATTAAAAAATTTAGACTTTTAATCGTTTATTTTTAAAAAAATTTAATTAATTACTTTATTTAAATATAATATTAATAAAAAATACTGACAACACACTTTTCATAACACATTTTTAATATTCTCACATATAATCTAATATTTTTTTTCTTATAATTTTAATAAATTTTAATTAATAATATATTCATAACACTCCTCATAAGTCATAACACTAGCTATTATTATAAGATAAATGTTAACAAGTATAGTTAAGTAACTGGTTAACGAATAAAAAATAAAATTTTGATATAAAAAATATATTAAAAAAATCTCCTTCCATACTTTTTTAAAGCAATTCAACATAATTTTCTTAACATATATTTTAGTATGGAAAAGCAAAACTATTTAACAGATAATCACTAGACAGATGCAAGTCCATTAACATTAAGTGTAACACAAAAGTTAAAAAACAGTCACCTCCAATAATTATCTAACAAATTTACTTACCGTAATTAGTATGAAATGAATAGATTGCCCAAGAGGGGAAAGTTCTCACTGCTTGCCATAATGGAAATTGTTGCTACCCAGAGACTTTGAATGGGTTGCGCGTTTTGCAAATTCACGAGCGTTAGTGTCCGATCTTAATGAGATTTCTGGAAGAAGAGTGGTTCACGCACAGTTGAATTGAACTATAAAATCCGATACTACTTCCAAATAAGACAAAAAATTATCATTAATTTCAAAATGAAAAATCAGAGCGATGTAGATCTGCAGTTATAATTGCACGTCATGATCTATAGACTGAGGCTTTATTGAATCTTGGAGAAAGTACAAACAGCGTGTTAAATGGACTCATGATTTGATCTAAAAGCACCTATGGCCCAAAATGCCGGCTGTTTGAATAGAAAATATTCTTCACAAAACATTGATTCCAAAATCCGAGTCCCCCTTCTTGTCTGTTTGCGACATTTTCGAGACTTTAGACAGACTATAGTGATTTGCATGCTTAAATCTATTGAATTTTATCTCCCTTTCAAGACTTTGAGCATCCTTTTTGTTTAATAGGATATCCTACTCTTTCTATTGTAATTATTCCTACTAAATACTGATCATTAACAATTTTTTACTTTTAACTTCTTTTAGTCTTGTACTTTTGTAGTATTTTAGTTCTTTTCGTTAATCATGGGACAGTCTCTTGATCAATTATGTTAGTAAGAGGAATTAAAATAAAATAAAAAAATGTATACATAAGGAAGCTAAATTAATAGATTAGTTATTGAACTTTCTTTTTTGGTTGTATTTTGGCTTGAATCCATTTTTATTTTTATTTTTAACTCTTAACTTATAAAACTATTTTAAATAAGTTTTTTTTTTGTCAAAATATTAACTTAATTAAAAAGTTATTATTCATTATCTTTCTCATTTATTTTCTTTCCTTACCTCTCATCCATGTTTCACAAGCATTTCTATCTTGTTGAGAATTAAACACAAATAATGCATCAAACATCAAATATTCTTAATTGCTCTTTTAATATACATGTTTCAAAGAAAAAAACACAAAAAATATAAATAAACATTATTTTTTACCTAAGTACAAACATGACAGTGACAATCTCATTTTATAAAAATTCACATAAATACTCTTATTAAAATCCTTCTTTGTTGGTGTGCTTAATAAATATTTTATATTTTTACACTTTTTCAACTAATAAGTACATTGCTTCTACGTGTTTTACATCTTTTGAATGCTTGTCATTCTTTAAAAAAAAAGAAGGATAATTGAAAAATTATCATAATAAATTTTTAATACTTCACTATACTATTAATAATGTCAAGTTTTAAAATAAAGTTTTGTAGCCACACTACATTTAATAATGGCCTCAAACCATGTCATATTTTTAACCTCTATAGTAAAAGTAGCAATGATAAACTCTTTTTCATTCGTTCATAAAATTACTCCTCTAACTAATAAAAAAATGTAACCAAAAATAGATTTTCTTTAATTTACACATCTCGCATAGTCTTAATTCATATAACCATTTACTTTAAGACAATTTGATTTTTTATATATGTAACTATTTAAGTACATAATTTTTGGTATCTTGTAAATAACTGATAACTTTTTTTATAACATTTCAATTATCAATTACATGATTATTTTGATATATCTAGCATTCCAATAGCAATAAGAAACTGTCTCCATTGTCATTCATTCCAAATTATTCTTAAGATTTTGAATTTAACTAAATTTGTCTCCTTTTGAATTAGAAATATTTTTAATAATCACTTTTTTATTCTAAATTTCTCTAACTAAACCTTTTTTTTTCATATTTCACTTCAAAGTTCTTATAGAAAAATTTCTTTATATCATATAACAAGAATATTATTAGCAGTGAGAAGAATATCATTAACATATAAAAGTAAAATAATAATGTAATGGTACCATAAAAGTTGAGATATCATTGTTAAGAAACTTTTTTAAGTTTATATATTGACTTTTTTAACTTATACACAATTTTCCTTTTTTTTTATGGTGAAAAACTTTATTGGTTAGTCTATATAAATTTTTTCTTTTAAGTCACCATTAAAAAAATTGAGTTTTATATTTTTTTTATAAACAAAACATATATTATTAGAGAGTTCAAGGGAAACTCAAAACTTATATACACAGATAAAAAATCTAACACTTACTCTAGAAAATGAAAAGCAAAAACATACGTATACAAAGTTAAGACGGATACAATTTTTAGGGTTTAAATACCAATCAGCTAGCAAAATAACTTCTCCCTTACAATTGAGTTTTACATCTATTTGGTGAGACTCTAAATTATAATGAGACATCAAAACTAAAAGCAATATATAAAGAGAACTTCTTTAAAATTAAAGATAATTTCTTTATAATAAATGTTATTTTTTCGAGTGCAATTTTTATGACAAATTTATCCTTAAATATTTCAATATTTTTTAGTCTTATTTAATCTTAAAAATCCAAGTATAACAAACATATTCTTAACCTTTAAACAATTTAACTAAATCTCTTAATTTATTGTTATCTACTGTTTTAACTTTTCTTTTAGCGTTAAATTAGTTTTCAAAATTACTATGATTGAATTATTTAATTAAAAAACTATTACATTAAATTATCTTTTATCAAAGTTAGTTAATAAATTATATTAACCGTCATATTATTTAATTAAATAAAAATAATAAATTGAATAATTGAGAAGTGATATGTTGTTGTTATGTAATTATAGAATCTTCCTAATTTTAAAATCAACATATATATTAAATAATAATACGGGTGTGGTGGGGGTAGATATTAAAATAATTATACTCACATTTATTTCTACATTCTTTTGTAGACAAATACCTGTTTCCAAATTAAAACTTATTTAGCGAATATTTTTCTACTCCTTCAAGAATTTTTTTAGTTAGTTCTTATTGGGTTCAAATGCAATCGTGATCTCTTTTGCCATAGCACGACCCAATGAAAGAGAAGGATCTCTATCTTCCTTGGGGTAGACAAGCATTCCTCCTACTGCAAACGTTGGGTGCTTTTATAGGCAACTATTTCCTCTATATCGACACCATTCAAATCCACCACATGAAGGCTAAAAACCAATGAAGCAAAGTCCAATCAGGCATCTCTACATTTGGTACAAATAATTTCTCATTTCAAATTTCCAGTTTTGTTTTGTTTGTGAAAGCCACCCAAGCGTAAGTAGGTGAATTATTCCCAAAATGTTTTAAAAAAAGTTGATAATTGATTCCACTTGTTCCAATGGAGGCTTTGCAAAATATTACATGACATATATTTTCAATCAAAGATATATATTGCTATCTTTACCAATTGAAACTTTATGACACCAACCCATCTATCCCATCTTCAAAACTTACAAAAATAATATACAACCTCAAATTAACATATACTCTCAAATCCCTAAGCTATCTAAGAACTCAAATGGTTCTATGCAAGGTATAAACCTATACTAGAATAAAATTCTTTCTTTCTTTACACTACGATTTATCGTCATTAATTATTCCCTAGAACAAGCACAGGGATTAGAAGAAAATATGAGAGACCCATAAACAGTTCTAGCAACTATCTATCTCCCTTCATTGTCGTATTTAGGCCACAAAGTCCGGCAACAATTGTGCAGCAAACCTCTTTGGGTTTTGCATGTTGATACTCTCAAATGCTGTTGAAGAGTGAGAATTGGAATTGTTTAAGGCACCAAACTGGTTTGGTTCACCAATGTCCAATCCTCTTCCTAGTTGGATATTTTGGCTTGGAAGAAATGTTTGATGGGTACCTGACAACGTTTCACAATGAGGAAGACCAAGAGTAAGGGAAACACCATTACCTGAAAACCTTGGTGTGAATTGTTCTGCATCAAACCTACCAATTTCCTCCATTGGGTATTGACCAAAACCACCAATGAAGTTTGTTTGGTTTCCCATAAAAGAATACCCATCTCTGTTTTGCCTACCATCCATTGAGAGTTGTTCATTGTTTGCTTCATTGACTTTGACATCCATGTTAATTGAAGGGACACGGTTTGGAGAGTGTAGAATTTCATGGTTCCTTGGTTTCTTAGGACTTCCTTGTGTGATTCCATCAAGTTCTGATGACCCAATGAAGCTGAATGCGGATTGGTTTCTAACATTACCCCCAACAGGTGAAGTTGATGGTGGAGAAGCTGAAATTATTGGAGTGTTTTGATTTTTTGAAACATCTTGTTTGGAATTGAAACTTTTAGATTCAATTTCAGAGGTAGGACCCCTCTCTTGTGGAGTTGTTTTCATAGCGGGATCTTCACTACTCTTGCTTGATTTGTCCTCTGATCCATTCACTTCATGCTCCTTCATCTCTTCCATGTACATTTCCTCCACCATTGGCTTCCAAAGCCTAACTCTAGCATTTATGAACCAATTTGAAACCTGTTTCATTACCAATATGAATTGTTAACATGATCCATAATACAAGCAGAAATGTTGGTAATTTTTTTTTCTATTAACTAAATTTTGTGAATTTTTGTAAAACTTTTTGAATAATACATTATGAATTGAAAAAATGAAATAAAGAATATGTTGACAACATTTTTCATGTTATAATTATAATAACTTAATTTTTTCATATTTTTTTCCTCTTACATATCTTGTACATTGATTTCTGTTTTAAAAATAGTTTTTTTTTTCTTTTCGTTACTTCTTCTGCTTTCAAAAAATATTTTATGTATCTCTTAAAAGACATCTAAAAATGTCTTATTATATTTTGAATATACTTTTATGACTTACATATATTAAAAATGATAAAATTCATATAAATACATGAAATTATAATTAAAAGGATAAATTATAATTTACAAGACAATTTTATCTAAGCTTTATAAAAAAAAAACAGTAAAACAAACATGCCTAAACTGTTTTATCTCTTCTTCTTCTTTTTTCCTTTCTTTCTCTCTTTTTTTTTTCCTCCAAACTCATCTCCCACACATGGAGGAGTAAGAGACAATCAATATCGTAACTAAAATTAATCTCAAGAACAGATGACAAGTAGTGGTGGTGTTACCTGGCTCCTAGTAAGCCCTGTTTGTTTTGCAAGCATGTGTTTGTCGGAGTCCTTGGGGTAACTGAAACCAAACTCAAGTTGTTTCAATACAAAGAATCTTCCTACCACAATAAAAATATTAGAAAAAGGGATTTTGGGAAACATAATATGTATAAATAAGCTTACGGGTGGAGGAAGTGTTCAAAGAGCCAAGCACGAAGAACAGAAACGGATCTCTCTGGCAATCCTCTCTGGGGTCTCCAAGCATTGTGATGGATCATTCCCAATTGTTGGATAGCTCTTTGTTGCCTAAGATGATGGTCAACATACTTGAGCCTTGAACCTTCAATTTTACCTCCAAAACAATCCTCTTCTCCTAAGCTCTTATTTGCAGCTCTTATTTGCCCTGTTATTGCATCTTTCAAGCACCGAAACTGCTTTGAGATTGTTTGCAATGCAAGGGCTGTGTAAGTTCTTGCTGACCCAATCCCTGCAGCTTGCTCAAAAGAGGATATCACTATCTGCATCTGGTTGTGGTACTGCCTGTATCTTTGCTCCACCTTCAATTCACCATCAACCCCAAAAACCACATTAATTACCTTTCTTTCATTTAATTATTGACCCATTAATATTCAACAGGTGATCAGCATTGGAATTTTTTTTATTTAATACTACTGAAGTCTCGTTTAATTACATAATTCTTGGGGTTGTGTGATCATACCAATATCAATATTATTATTACTAACTAATATTTCGAAGTACTTATTAAAAACTAAAAAACAAAATTTTCATTAAAAAAGATACTTCTTATGTATTTTTATCGTAACTTCTAAACACTTTAACTATAGAATAAATTATAAGTTCGATAAAATTTATATATAGTTCTTTAAAGACTTTTAATATTATTTATTAATTAAAATTCTATTTAAATAATAGATGATGATTTAACGTTATCCCAAATTATTAAAATAAATTTTTAATTTCGATTAAAAAATACCTCATCAAGCATGCTGATTAGTTTTGCCTTCTTCATCTGAATTTCTTGTCTCTCCGTAGTTGACAATTCAGAGCTACGCTTCCCACTTCCCTCCGCGACGACTGAACCATCACCACTAGCTGCAGTTGATGATTCCCCAACCACCTTAGTCTTGTCGAAGCTTTTCTTTGCCTGTTCAACCTTAATTCCGCCATTAACATTCACAACCTCGTCTAGAAGCTCCTGCGTGGCCTTCAAATACTTTGAACTCAACAGCACGCTCTGAATCCCCGACACTCCGCCACCGTTGGTAACCCCCGAAGCCGAGGACGACGACCCGCCTGACACGCGCATGTCATCGCCTGCCTGAGCCTGCAGGCTCAACGAAAGCCCTTGGGTGGCGCGTGAGGCCTCACGCGCCGCCGCGTTGGGGTCAATTGCGTTCCAGAGATTGTACTGCATGCGGGGCAGGAACCCATGCAAGGCGGAGACTTCGTGGTGCATGGACGGCGGCTCCTGCAAGGAGGCTGCCGCAGCGGAGAGTGGCACGCCGACGAATTGTTGAGTGTGAGGGGGCGGCGCGTGGGGGAGATTTTGTGGGGAAAGGGAGCTGTTGCCGCCGCCGCCGCCGGCGGAGTTGAGGAATACGAGGTTTCCACCGTGAGATGGCGTCGACGTGTCTGAGTATTGAACATAGCCAGGATTCATTAGTACAAGAGTTTGAAGGCCGTCAGCACCACCTTGGATTTCGGAGTTACTATGAAAGTATGTCGCCATCGAAATTTTCTGTTTTTTGGGATGAAAATTTCTTTTGCTTTGTTACTTCTTCACACTGAAAAGAGACTTAGCATACGTTAGTGTTAGGCTTTCAAAGTTCACAATCACATCCCAAGAAAAATGAAAACAAATATTCTATAATAATAAATCCTTTAGAACAAATCACACACAACATAACACAACAAAAAACAAAACGTGCTCACAAAGAAATAATAACATCCCCACACATGTGAGTTAACATTGAAGACTATTTGTGATAGCTGTACCTTTCAGTGCAGCGAATCGGGTTTGGAGTATAATTTTTTTTTTATCAACCCATTAAAAGGTTAATTGAAGCTAATTTCTTGTCTTCTCACACAAAGATCCTGAGAAAATAAACAATGAGGAGGAAGAAGTAAAAAAATTGATGAATTACCCCAAAACCTAACATGATATATTAAGGTATGTTTATTTGCTCCAATTTATGGTATAGATGAAATTAGTTTTCCTTTGCGCATGCTCTTATTTGTCGTATGGTCAAACTCCAGACTTGAAAATGAAAGAGAAGGAGAAAAGGAAAGGGGTGAGTGAAATACTTGAAGGCTTTTTATAAAGAGAAGAGATTTGGTAAGAGAGTGATGGAAAGAAAGGGTAACGGGAAAAATCCATTATTTATATTATTAGTTTAAGAAATTAATGGTATCATAACCAGCTAGTACCTGGTGTGATGGAAATTAGAGGGTGCACGTGCTTCATGATCATCCCTGCACTACTGCAAAGGAAAGAAGAATTTTCAATTACAATGACCCGAAACCTATGGGAAACGGATTTGGGACAGAGAGAGAGAGAGAGACACAGACAAGCAAGCACACACGCACACACATAGTCTCACCCACCAAAGCAAATACCACAGTTATGGCTAACATACATCTAAGAGAAGTAAACATCATTAGCAGATATAGATGCATCAAACCCACCTGTCAACATGTGTGTGTATGTGTGTATGATCTATCTATATATCTTGGTGATAATAATTTATATCAGTCCCTTCACTTACCAAGGGGAAAGCTCTCTGTCTGACTCAAATCATCTGCAATTCCACCCCAACTGAAAGTGGAATAAAAAGGAGTTAAAGAGAGAGATGGGGTTAAAAAGACTTGGGGGGGAAAAGATACCCATCTTTATTCATCCCATTATCCACTCATTTGTTGACATTTTTTTCTAAAACAAATTAATTTTTTTAATATGGAAATTAGTTCTGGGCATTGGGCAATAAGGGTAATTAAATTTGTGTGAAACACTGAAGTGAAACATCTTCATGATATTATCTCTTTATCTTTCTTAGGCCTTTTTTTGGGAGAAGTACCTGCGAACAGATCAAAACAGGGGAACCTCTCTTGATTTGACCCACCCTTTCAAATCATCTGATGCAGCCAACAAGCACCCCTTGATGAGAAACAAAGAACTTTTGGGAGAGAGAGAGAGTGAATAGAGAAAAACAGGCCTGAGATAAGAAATCTGTGTGAATAAAATATTAAAATATAATGAAAAATGTAATCAAGGTGTGCAAGAAGTCACCAACAGCTGAAAAACGAGGAAACGTCTCCTTCTACAAAGCTTAATTAATTGTTTCTTTAATAATAAAAAATAAAATAAAAAAAATGATGATGGACGACGAGCGGGTGGAGGGATCCAATTGCTCATTTCTCTATTAAATATCTTCTTGTCGTTTCCTCAATTTCCATGTTTTTTTCTTTTCAACTTATATGTGTATTTTTTGTGGTTGGATGCCTGAGTTTGAAGATAAAGCAATTAAATTGCCAAGGAACACAGAACCAACTACCATTACACCTACTTTAATGCAATAAAAGCTGAAAACATATATATATATATATATATATATATATATATATATATATATATGCTATTTATCCTGGAAATATTCGTAAACAATTTCGCTGGTAATGAATATAAAACTCCAAAATTTTACCCATACTATTATTTGAATTTGTAAATGGAGCAGATCATAAAAGAGTAACCCCAAGGAGGAGAAAAAGATGAAAATTAAAGGAGGGGGTTAGAGAAAAAAAGGGGTCTGAATCAAGTGCATGCATGATGTGTATAAGAATCATGACCCCTCAATAAGTGGTCCCTCACCTTCGCTTTTATGCATCAGACCTATAGAAGGAATCATCTACGGGTCTCAACAAGGCAACTGGTGTAAAGTTTAATATTTTTGTTTTTTATTATTTATTTAATATTTTTCGCATAAAATATAACTTTATTGAGCAAAGTGACAAATTATAGTTATTCATTATTTGTACCCCTTATATTAAATTATATAAAACTTAAACTTCAGCAAAAATATTTTTTTATTTTTATATATATCATGATATATATATATATATATAATGTTAAATAAATTTATTTAATATAGTATTTTATAAATATGATAAAAAAAATCGCTGCAAACAGGGAAATTTCAGATAAGATTATTCGATAAAAAAATATTAATGTGGAAGTAAGTTTCACTTAAACCTGCATAAATACATAATTAACAAAATTGTAATTTCAATTTAAGAATATCCTTATTTGTATTTATTTTTTTTAATATTCTTATTCTCTCTCAAGTTTCCTTAGCCTCAAAAAACTGAAACCCCTAAATGCAAACTCTTCTCTACTTTTTTTCCTCCATAATCTTTGATGACACCCAAAGGATAACTTAGATGCAAAAAATAAAAAATAAAAATAAAATAACTATAGAGTGATTCAACAGTTTCATCTATTAAATTATTATTATGTATGTCTTCTAATTTTTTATGTTACTTTAATATTCTGAATAGGAATTTATGAAAAAATTTAATATTCTTATTTTTATTAAAATTATCATATAATTTCATGTTATAATCTTTTTATCTCTTATTAATTAATTATTATTTTATTTTAAGTTAAGAATATAATTAATAACATAAAACTAATAATATCTTAAATTTTTAAGAAACACAGATAAATAAAAATAAATTTTAAAACAATAACTAGTAAAAAAGAATGAAAAAAAAGGTGCTAGAATTAGAAAAGAAAAGAAACGACTGAACAGATAAATAATTAGGAATTAATAACCCTTTCGAGTGTGTATGAGGTAATCCCATCATTTGCATGGAAAGACGCAAAATGACCATAATAATTAAATAAATTCAGGACAGCAACGACCATTTTCTACATCCTGGAAAAGCTCTCAATCACCATCAGTAACTATTATTGTGTAAGAATGAGCAGTGACAGATTTAAGGCCTGTGATGTTAATGGGACTAAATTTTCGAAGTTGGGGACATTCATTCATGTAGCTTATGCATCATCCATCCAGAAAGAAGAGCATTGGTAGGCGCTATTAATATACTATATACTATATAGAGTTGGTTCTATGAATGGCCTTTTTGTAATCAAGCTGTCATTCTCGTAGAGATCAATGTCAATAGTATTTATTTCATGATTTCATATACTTCTCTTGGATTCTTTTCATGAAAACTCATTGTAACTTTTTGTTCTCACTCAACTGGGCATTAAACAAACTGGTTTTCACAGCTAGTAATAGCTTGTTGGATCTCCGAAGGACACATGTAGAAGCGAGAGCAAAAGGGTGTGCCATGTTACTTATGAATATTCATATGTCAGAAGCATATATAGTTTTCAAGGTGTACTTGAATGTACAAAATAATATAGAATCTTTCTTGAGTAACTGAGCAGGAGATGCATGTGGTTTTTTTCTTTTTCTTTTCTTCTTAAACAAAAGAAAAATAAACAAAGTACGTTTATTTTATTCTCATGGAAGATTTGACGAAGTTGACTCGTTTTCTAATTTCAGGAATATATAATTCCTCTTAAAGTTTTAAATTTTATATAACCATATAACATGAAGAACAAAAATAACTGACGTGTTGATAATGAATCTATATATACTCTTAATTTCTCGAGGGGAAAGTACATCATCTTCACGCTTTAAATTGCTCTTTTCTTTGCCAGCTCCACGCTTTAAATTTCGCATTTATTTTTCATGATAGACCTTAGGAAAAAGGAAATTAAATATGGTTGAATGAGAGGCGGGGGGATAAAAATGCAAAAATTATGTATAAGTTTTTTAAAGGTCTTGGGCAATAATATAATATTAGAAATAGACGAAGATCTGTGTACACACGAGTGTATGATTATTTCAAAGTGAGAATTAATACAAAAGGAAACTTGGAAGGTTCAAATTCCTCCCTTTGGATGAAGCAATCACTTATGCTGTATAATTGGATGCATGTCCCTTAGTATATGATTTAGAAAAGTAAAACCATTATAGAATCCAAGAATCTAATAAGGTGGAGGTTATCATCATGATGATGGTGACACGGAATTCAATTACTTTGGATATGATATGATATTCCCTAGAGAAACAATGGCGAAGTATGACATGATATTATAATTAAACAATTAATTAGCTTTAGATTACAAAGTCTCGATCCTAATTTAAGTCATAATCAGGTCATTGAATATTTAACCCCCAAGTATTTATCATAACAATAGACATATAACTATGCCAATAAACTGCAAAACATGTACAAGCCGTACTGTTGTCCCCTATATGGATTTGGATTCTGTTGATTTTGAAGTAAACACATAAATGTAAGTGGCACGCATCACATCATAGTAATCCCAAGGGTCACTGCCACCATATGATACTAAACTCCCCCTGTCTATGCATATGGGTGGGACTATAAACAATATAAAATATTAAAGGGGATTATTTTTTTAAAGTGGCCGGGTATATGGTCCCTTTGTGTGTGCTCCATCTATTTCTATATTGTTATCATGGGATGGTTGTCACATTCTTTTCTTACTCCAATTCCTTTCCTGGAGAAAATGACTTGAAAAGAAGAAAACACTGAAAAAAGGACTAAGATTTCCTTCTTAAACAATTCAATGTAGTTAGAATGTGTCAAAAAGAGACCAGGAAAAAGATAGCAAAGGTGAAATCGATATGTATATATAGTACAAGCATAACTCATATGTACCAATCACAGAAACAAAGATCTAGCAAGTTGCATCATCATAAAAGAAAACAAATAAAATAAAACTGTAGTTGCCTACCAAAGAGTCCATTATTCAAATTTCTTGAAACGCGGGTATGGCTATGTCTAATTTAAATTACAGCATGAATTTATTTTCCTTTTGAAAAATGAAAACAAATGGCGCTTAAAATTGAATTTGAAATTTCTACTCCATATCAGGAATTCAAAAAATAAAGGACAATGCAGCGTATATTACAGTATGCCCAAAATTTGTTGGTTAGGCATTGGCACAAGGGTATTTTTCGTGAGTGGACCCATGTTATAGCTAGCAAACAAAAGATGATTTGAGGTGTTTCGTGATCTCTACTTTGGGATTCTCTTTGGTGAAAGGAATACCCGTCTGAAGACGCAACTATTATTATTGGGTTTTGGTTATGACTTGGAGACTCATCTCAAAGAGTAAAGACCGATGTGAGTACAAAAGAACCCTAATATTGCCACAAAAGTACTGGGGCCACCACATACCTACTTACAACCCCACTCCTACATGCCGCCACCAAGTTCTTCTTTCACACCCACATATGAAGAATATAAGCTCCTGCTACTTACACACATTCATGTGCCAACATCACCACGTAACTGCACTAAGAAACACGGATCCGGTTCCTCTAAGCTATCGTCGATCGAGTGTATTTACACTGTATTTATAAATTCATCATTTAGATTTTTATCAATATCAAGTACATGTATAATTAATTGTTCAAGTTACTTTTAATAATAATTATTAGTGTATTTTGTCTTTAAAAGTCTAATTTAGTGGAGTCCAATTCAAAGAACACATCCTTTTTTGAAGAAATACTTTTTATTTTAAATTAGTTCTCGAGATAATATAAATAAGACACTTCAATTTTTGAAACTCTTACTAGTTAGTAACTTTATAAAAGGTCTTTTTTTATTTTTATTATATAGGTGGTTCTGTATGTCTATTATGTCATGTACTTCTAAATTAAAGCAGGCAACTATTGCCCTGCACCCGATTTCTGCCAACCTCACTCACTGCCTTTTGTTTTCCAAAACTTTTATATGTGATTTGGTTACTTGGTGTGAGGGGAGAGTTCATTATCACTGCCAATGTTCCTTGGATTTCGCGATGACTCAAGAGTCAAGAGACTTGTTGATGGAAACCGAAAACCATGTCAAGTCCACTGTACATTTTGGCGTCGCCTCCAACTTTTTTTCTTTTACTTCTCACTCTCTGCCTTCACTTTAGAGTATAATTGTGTGTAAGAAAACAAATTATATACATATTTGGCCACTCAAACACGTAGTCAATTGACTACGCGGATGAAGATTTAAATCATTCTTTTATAATTAAGTTGAAATCTTAATTAGCAATTAGAAAATTTTAACAAATTTTTTTAAAAAAACGTATAATTTTGATTCTAACCGCACATAACAA